GCAACTCACCTAGAAGGGTTGTTGGTTGTAAGAGGCTTGTTAGAGCGATGAGAGGAGATGTTCGAGTGAACTGAACTGTAGATTGGGGGTACAGAGGTCCCCTATATATACTACTGTACATCTGTGGCTACGTAGTACTATACAGTACATTCCCAGGATGCACAGTCGCACAGAGAAGCAGTGCGTACACAGCGAAGCTGTGTGTGTACCACATGAGTAGTACAGCCTCGGTTATTGCAGTAACCGGCTGTGCCGTTCCATATCTTGTGACGGCTGTGTTAGGCAAGCTGTGTAAACCAGCGCCTGTTCAACACCTTTTACGTTCCGGGAAACAAGGAAAAAGAGATAGTGACACCGGTTTGCAAGCCTTGGTGATCAATGAGCGATACTGTTGGTCAGGACCGGGTAGCTATCATCCAACACCGGGCCGCCCAAGAGCGGACGGGGATCAGGCCTCTGCCTGGTTGGACCAGTTTTGTCCGGACTTTGGCACCAGGCCATCCAGAATTTGGACGTCGATTTGGCCGGATTGGATCAGGCATAGGCCTTTTTGGGTGGCCAATTTTGTCCGGATCAGGCATCATTCCTTTGGGAGAATAATCGGGGGTCCTGACACGACGGGCAGCGCTCGGGATCCCTTCGCGTGAAACGGAGGTTTGTTTTCGGGAAAGTCGTAACTTGTCCCTTTGCCGACGCGTGCCAAAGGATGCTGATGGGTCGGCAATGGGAAATTTGTACTTGCTCAGAGGTTCTAAAGCCCTTTGACAAAGAACGATTTGAGGCGGTGCCCATAGTGAGAGCTCCCCTGCGGCTGAGCCTGCTCGCTGGGCCACTGGCATTTCCAAGAGTGAGTATGCCATGGGCCCAGTAAACTTGCGCATAAGTACTTGTAGTCATACAGTGTGCACAGTGCACAGAGATAGTTTGCATGAGGGCAACAGTCACTGCACAAGATCATATCAAACGGGCCCTTGCCAATGAATACATGACTTGCGATGCTGTGGGTGGCCAGCCTCAAGTCACTCCTAAATGCTTGAGAGTTGGACATGCATATGGTTGATGAAACATGTTGAGAACACGTTGAAGCTACTGCACTGACTCAGGCATGATCATGTATATGCGACTGCACCTTTACTATGGTACCTCCTGTTTAGATCAGGGTACAG